GGGCTGGCGCTCCGGCGGCGGCTCCGGCGGCGGCGACTCGGGGCTCTCATGCTGGCTGCCGGCGGGGCTCAGAGGCATGCTCCGTGCGGCGCGGCGGGCGGCCGGCACCCGCACCGCCACCGCCAGCGCCGGCCGCGCTCACAGCCCGCCCGGGGGCCCTGCGGGGGCAAGGACACGCGGTCAGCCCGGAGCATCCCCGGCCGGGACCCCCGGGGTACCCCGGGAGGGGACCCCCGGCTGGAGACCCCCGCGGTGCACATGGGCATCCCCACAGAGACCCCACAACCACCACCCCCAGCAGGGATTATCCCCCAGTAGTGGCCATTCCCCGGGAGGAGCCTGAAAGCAGAACCCCACTCTGCACGTGGGCATCCCCACAGGGACCCCCCCGAACCCACCCAGAAGGGATCATCCATCCCCCAGGAGCGACCATGCCCCAGCAGGGGCCTGGGAGTGGACCCCCACTCTGCACATGAGTATCCCCACAGGGACCCCACGAACTCCCCTAGCAGGGATCATTCCCCAGCAGGGAGCATCCCCTGGGGTGGGACCCCCACACTGCACAGAAGCACCACAGCCAGACCCCAGGAAGGTCCATTCCACAGCAGGGGATGCCCAACCTCCACTTGGGGACCTGGTGGGACCCCCACACTCCACCCAGGCCCACAGTGACCTCCTGCAGGACCCTTAACTCCCCCCCACACACACAGAGACTCCCATCTTGGGGCCCTCACCCGGGAACCCCCCAACCAACCATGCAGGAATGTCCCAAAGCCACCCCACAGGGTTCCTCACGGCAGGGGCACTGTGGGACCACCCCCCAACCAGAAGCCTTGTGCTGAGGGTCTTGCAGAGGACCACCCCCACCCAGGATGGGTTGTCCCAGCTCCTGCAGCCTGCCCTGCTCCTTGGATCTTCCCTCCACACCACCACCAGTGCCCCCAGTCTGTCCCAGTAGTGCTATCCCCCACCTGTAACCACGATCCCCCCATCTCCACACCTGCACCAGCGCCTCTGGAATCCCTGCCTGGCTCCTTCCCCAGCTGCCAGGGGGACTCCTGAGGGAGGCTGGGCACCAGCAGGATGTGACTCGTGGGGCTCAGCAGCCTGTCTTGGGGTTTTACAGGGGAAAGGGCTGATTCTGGCTCTATAAAGCTGTGGATGCTGCAGCTGCTGGAGCTCTGCCCACCACGAGGTCCTCGACACCCCTGCCTGGAGGCCCAAGCAGCAGGACCAGCCCTTGGGCTGCGGCTCCAGCAGCTCCTCCACCCCCCCTCAGGCCAGGGACCGGCTGCCAGGGGCTTCCCAGAGTGCCTCCCACTTGGACAACAGGATGCAGCTGTGGCCTTGTGCCAAAGCTTTGGGAATGGGAGGACAGCTGACCCGCTTTGCCACCCCTGAGACCTGGCTGAGGTCACACAGCACAGCGTGGTGGCTCCAGCGTGGAGCAGACACACGAGCAGCCACGTCCCCGGGCTGTTCCCCCTGCCAGGGAGGGCTAAGGAAGGGCAGGAACACTCTGCATGGCCAGGGTCGAGCCCTCACTCCCAGGCAGGGACTGCCCTGCCAGGAGCAGATGGAATGCCGGGCTGAGCCCTGCAGGACCGTGCATGGCACCGTGTCCGGTCCACGGCTGGCTGGGATTCAAGGCTTTCATCTACGTGACAATCCTTCAGCAGAAATAGCCCCCAAACCACTGAGAGCTGGAGAGATTTACGGTGTGGCCTGGATCTGGCCAGGAAATGAGTAATGGCCCTTCCTTTGGCCCTCCCGCCCCAAGGCCTGGGGGCTGCACGGGGCAGGAATCACTGGGAGGGGGCCTCTACATCCAGCCCCCAAACCTCTCCCAGCTGGAGCAGCATCTGCTGCAAACACCCTGCACTGGCAGAACAGGTGAGACAGGGAGGGGTGGCTGCATCCACAGACCTGGAAGTCTGGGGTGAGTCCAACGGGTCCCGAGCACGAGCTCTGCGACTCCGTGGCACGAGAGCGGAAACCGTGGCTGGATGCGGGCAGTGAGATCAGCCCAGGAACAACTGGCTGCTCTCTGGCCTCCTCCTTTCCTTCAGTCCACATCTGCTGGGGAGCCACAGGTCCCTTCTGCGCCCTGCTGCTGCACAGCTGCCAGGATTAGGGAGCCTGGGAGTCTCCTGCACCCTGCATTCCCATCACCCAGACTCAGAGTGGGAGGATTCGGTGCCCATGGCAGTTTGAGCCATCCCCATCCAGCCCCTTTGTAAGGTGTGAAAAAAAAAAAAACATTCCTGCCCCAGCAGCAAATCCAGGCAAATCCATGGTTGTCCAGGGTGCCTGTCCCACAGCATCACTCCCACTGTGTCTCCAGGGAGTCTGGACTCAGCTCCCAAGCAGGGCCCAAGGTCAGGGACATTGGAAAGGCAGCTTTGGAGCAGACAAGGCCACCTGGCAAAAGCAAGGGCTGCAGGGGACAGGCTGGATCTGGGGCTTGGAGTTGGGGACGCCAGGGACAAGGTGGGGCTGGCGAGGGGAAGAAGTGGCTGGGATGACAATGAGTCACAAACAGCTCCAAGGAGGAGCCTCTCCCAGCACAACAAAGGAGAAGAGTGGCCAGGAAGGGAGATGGCAAAAAAATCTGTGGGACAAAGGGCCAGAAAAGGGAGCATGGAAAGTCTGAACTGGCTGCACAGTGACAGAGAGCAGGGTTGGATGAGATACTGGGAAGGAATTGCTGGCTGGGAGAGTGGGCAGGCCCTGGCACAGGTTGGGCAGAGCAGCTGTGGCTGCCCCTGGATCCCTGGAAGTGTCCCAGGCCAGGTTGGACGGGGCTTGGAGCAAGCTGGGCCAGTGGAAGGTGTCAGGGGGTGGCACTGGATGAGCTTTAAGGTCCCTTCCAACCCAAACCAGTCTGTGACTCTCTAACTGGGAAGCCACGGCAGGAGTCCCTGGCTGGGATTGCTCCCTGAGGATGGCAGTGGGCACAGAAAGGGCAGAGCCTTTCCAGATGTGGCAGAGAGGGAGAATGGCTCTGCCAGCCTCTCAGTTGGGCCTGAAAGCAGCCAAAGGCTGGACACCAAATGTGCTGCCACCACCATCCAGCTCCTGCCAGAGGCCTGGGATGAGGACTGGGACTTTCATTAGTGACCTGGAAGAAGGGATCCACCAGCACCTTAATGAAATGGGGCATGAAACTGGGAGCAGGAGAGTGAAAAGGCCCTAAAGAGGTCAGAAATGAGAGCAGGAGGAACACAAAGTCAGCCCAGAGGAGCCCTTTGGATCCATCCTGCAGCCACGGTGTCCCACAGGATCTGACCCATGGCCCTTCCAAGCAGATCCCCCTCTGCCCAGGCTGGCAGTGGTGCCCACCTGAGTTCTATTCAACTCTTCCCCATCACTGACTTCATTTATTTCCTTTTTTTCTGTCTTGTTATTTCACTAGAGGGAGAAATTAAACGCTCCAGATGGTAATCACAAGGATTATTCTTGCTTTTCCCCCCCCCCGCCCAATCTTCTGGTACCTCATTAGTTCCCAATAATATTTAAGGCACAGCTGTGAATGGTTGGAAAAACGCACTGGCCACCCCCAAACTCCATCACAGACTTGCAGAGTCATTCACGTTCATTTTCTCTTATTAAATCAACCTCTCTGTTGAGGGGTA